TAGTAAGCTAAAACAAGAATTAGTATGCAATGAACTATTAGTATGCAATAAAGCTAGCCCTTTTAGCAATAGAACTTGATAACGAGTAAAAAAAATTTTTCCCCATTTCTTAGATTTCGCAATGATTAATGTATTTATATTTTTATTACACATTTTTGTACTGAAAATTATTTTACAAAGAACCCTGAAAATTTAATGAAAACTGAAAAAGAAAATACAGCTCATAAGTTGTATATAAAATTTCTTGTAGACAAAAATTACTGTTGAAACAATAGTCAGTTAAAATACTGTTAGTTAAAATATTGCCAGAAATTCAGCATAAATATTTTATTTTATTTTATAACCGTCGTTGAACAGTCGACCAAATTTTTTGGGTTTGCGACTACTAATGTTCAACTCCGTAGCCTTGAAATTTTGAAACTGTAGTGTATCTACCACTACAAAATTACAACTACAATTCACTAGTACATAAGACATGTTAACTCGACTCTATGTCGGGGTACCTTTTCATAGATGACGGTTGACATGGTCTGTAACTACTCTNTGGAGATCAAGTATTTGGAGGACTTTGTTGAGGGAACTAACCCGTATTTGCGTTACATGGAGAGGAAAACCACGAAAACTTCCACGGTTAGCCTGATGGCATGGAGACTCTAACCCAGGGGTTTCCAACTTGCATGAGGACGGGGGCCACAATTAAAAACACAAATCAAATGGCGGGCCGGACTCTTTTATGTTTGAAGGAACATTAAATATTACTATCCTAGTTTTACCAAGTTGTACAAAAGAAAAGTATTGAATTACAAATTAAAATAAGAAGTAGATTTGTAAAAACATTTAATTGTTATTAGTAATATCTTTAAAAATATTAAATGAATAATATAAGTTCGGGCTACAATAACTTAATGTGCATCTATGTATTAAACAATTAATGTGCAACAGATATCTAATTGTTAAGATATTAAAACTTACATAGTAGAACACAAAATATTCAATGAGAGAATTGAGGTTTATCTGCTGCAACCACCAGAGAATAAATATTTACATTTTAAATTTAAAATTTACAAATGTGTGTGAAAATATTTTCGTCCAAAATGAGTGGTTTCAAAAAGTTAAATCGGAGAATTTCTTCGAGAAAATTTTTGATACGCACACGCTAAGTTATATTCACAAAATACAAAAAAAAATGAAATAAGGAACAGCAACATACACGATTATTTTTGTATTTGAATAAATATTTTCTTGGATTCAAATCCTGAAAAATAAATTTCTTTGCACCGTTGGTATGTTAAATTCCACAGAAACGAAGAAATTAGGTTTTTATTAACGAGAAAAGTATTTTAAACCCATATAGATTTTTTACGAAAATTGTCCGCAAAAATTGTCAACTAATATATTTTAGCTCGGGGGCCACACAAAATGGCTTCGCTGGCCGGATGCGGCCCCCTGGCAGCCAGTTGGAAACCCCTGATCCGTCTATCATTAAAGATATTTTATTTAACCTTAGGATAACAACTCCCGGGTGGTGGCCACAGCTGTTCAGCAGTGTATGGTTAGCTTTAAAACTTTAAAAATTGCATTTTTTTTAACTGCCGCGGAGACTGTAGATAAACCACAGTCATAGAACTTATCAGTAAGAATCGACCAATGAAGATTAATTCTAAATGTCCTGTACCGTTTAGGTTTTGAACAGGTAACAAAAGTCGTAGTACATCTTTCTTCTACGCCAATTTGCCTTAACGTCCAACACAATTGTTTTTACTGAGGACAATTAACCTTTTGTGGAAATAGCTTAACAATTTAATTAGCCTTAAAATAAATAATATTTATAAAATAAATAAATAATAATATAAGTTCAGCGCCTTATATATTTCAAGAAGATTTTTAATTAAGAGGATTATAAATTTTACTTACTTCTCAGTGCTTTTCCTATGCTAGTTCTGCAATCTCTGTGCATAATCGTTTTTTTTTTTTAAATTTTTTTTAACCTTTTTTTTCGGAATAAATAATATATCAAGATACCTTTTAAGTTATTTCTTGTTAGTTAGTTAGTTCTAACACTATTTCGAAGGTTGAGTAAATTTAAAGAAATAATTCCATCTTGTTTTTATGGAACGTCTGAAGATAGAGTTAGTTTTAATAAATTTGATTAATTATATTCTCTCCACATCATGAAATTTTTAAAGAAAGTATTAGACCAAAAAGTTAAAAAAAAAATTTTTTTTTTAAATAATGTTAATACTAATCTTGATAGACGCCATAAATCATACACATTACAATACTGCCTTCGATATAAAATAAATTAACTGAAAATGTTTAGCGCTCCAATAGTACAATAATATTTTTCTATGGCTTTTATTTATACATTCGGCAGCTCAAAGCTCATTCAAAGTCTTCAGAGTCAAATGTTTTTATATATATATGTATATATATTAAGTAAATAAAAAATTTAAATTCAGTTTCACTTTTTTTTGCCCACGAATTTTAACAAATTCATAATTTTGACATTCAAATTTTAATAGCTAATATTTTTTCTCTGTATATATATATTATACGTAGTATTTTACACTATAGTACATACTATGTCTGCTCAGAAGAAACGGTACATTTATCTTTCCCTTTAAGTTGATTCTTAACCCCTAAATTTAGTTGAAATATTTGTAGATATCTCATCGAATCACTAAACTCATCGAATTAACTCATCATTAAACTCATCGAATTACGTTTGTTATAGATATAAGGAGGCTCGGCTCGCAGACTATTATTTTTGTCCTCATCTTTTTTTAAACATCGGTATTTTCTACAAAAGCACAAAACATTTTATTTTCGAATAGATACAACTATTGTAGCTCTACTTAAGAACATTTTGTTTACATGTAAACCGTTGCGAAATAGAAAATTACCTAGATTTAAAGAATAATCATCTGCACTTGAAAAACTGACCTAAAGAATACAGATTGCGTCACTCATTACAAAGAAATAAATGAAAAAAGTAATTTTACTCATTGACTAAATTTATAACAAACTAAATAAGGAACTGTTTTTAGCAATATTCATTTCTTCTTATTTTTAAAAATTTTAATAAAAACGCTAAGATTTATATCTGGTCACATATAATATATTTTTTTAAAATCTTTTTCTTTTTTATTTCGCTTATTTTGCTACTCTCAATTTATTTAAAATGGAGCTTATAAAAAAATGAAGATCTTGTGAAGGAAAAATAAATGTGAACAACAATGGGAAAAATATAGTCAATATTTAAAACAAAAATTTAAAAAATTGACGAAAAAACACTTAAATAATTCGGGCAAATTAGAATTTGGAAACAAAATTCTCGTTAAGTTCTCAAATAAAAATGGGTTCATTATCACATCACATCACGTTTTAACTCCATAAATGCACTTCTGCGGGCTGCATCACGACCAAGCAAATTACAAATTTAACAGTTAATAATAATTTTTGAACTAAGAGTCGAATGTTAATTCTTCTTATTTCGTCATGCTCCTGGTACATTTTTCAACAACCCATTGTAATTTTAAAGTTTTAAGTCTTATAGTTTGTGCGCCACGAAGCAAAATGTAACGTAAGCAAAAAAAAAGTTTAAAAAAAAATTTCAGCAAAGGCTTTTAAAATTGTAATGACTTTCGAACGAATTGAAATTTCGAAAAAAACCCAGATATATGGCCTTTTCACTACGCCAAATTTCAGTTCTGTAGTTAGCTGCATTCCTGTATCCTGCAGATTGGGCTAATGTTATTTTTTATGTCAAGTTTAACAGTATGTAATCTTCGAAATAATTATGAAATATTATTTTTTTATCCCTTCTTACTCCCTGTACAATTTTCTACAAATCATTATAATTTCAAACTTTTAAGTTGAACACAAAAAAAACGGTGGAGACTCAACAATTTTTTAATATTCGTAGTAATTTACTAGAGTAGGGTAAATCACATGGATTTAGAATGAAACAGCAACTCACGGATGTAAATGTTATTGTACGCCACTATAGACGCTTTCCTATTATGGGCTGGCTGTTATTGCGATTTTAGTCGGTACTTCCTTTCAACTAAATAACTTAAAATTTATGTTTTCTAATAATTATCGTCTAACATTGTATTTAAATAAGCTGAGAAACAGCGATATCGTACATTACTAATTTGGCGATCAAATTGGCGACTTCCTCAAATTAGTCACCAAAACTGCGATAAAACAATAAAATACTTGAAAGCAATATTTCAAAGTTTTTATTAAATATAAAATTAATAATATTTATGTAAAAATGTACCAGTTCAAATGCGCATGAACGGCCAGCCAGTCTATAATAGAGAAGCATCTCTAGCGGCATACGATGACGTTCCAACAAAGATTATTATTTAATTTTTAATCATTATGCTCCCTACCTGCCGTAAAGGTGACATCTTTACATCAAATATTTTCTTACCATTGCCTTTAGATAGGCTTCTCACAAGTTTAAAAATTTTAACTTCACTATAGCACAATACACATTTTTTTTTTTTTTTTACAAAAATGGAAATTTTGCTTTTTTTAATAAAAAAAACTTGTCTGCTCAATTTGAAATAATGGCTTATTATTATATTACCCTCAAGTCCTTCAGCATAATATAAACCTCTCAAATTTTCATGATTCATTTAATCTAACTTGTCATTCCAATATACAAATAAAAACTAAAATTAAAAAAAGTTCAGTAAGACAAATTATGTAGTAATTAGTGTTAATAGAACGCAAAGAATATTGAGAGAGATAAGACACCAACACCAATTTTAATATTTTTATTAACAGAAGCATTAATACAATAAGTTAGGGTAAGTAAAGTGAGGATTAGAATTAGAGATTATAAGTGTCAGAAGAGAGCTTAAAAGTCATGCAGTGCTGTTATAAAATTGTGTCCCAATGATTGTCATTTCACTAAAAAGTCTTAAAAGAAAGGATATGTCCAAGTGAGAAAGTTCTAGCTATTGAGAACTGCTTGTATTGCTTACCTGGATCATTTGTTGTTGCAACAGTTGCTGCTGAATTAATTGGGAAGCGTCTACCATTGGAACAGTCATTCCTGAAAATGTGAAAAAAATATATAAAACAAGGGATAAAAAGAATAGTAAATATGCTACCGATAATATATAAAACAAGGAATAAAAAGAATGGTAAATATGTTACCGATAATATATAAAACACCAGCATTCTAGAATATCCAGCCATTTTATACAATGCCTGACGTTTTAAGGCAAGGTATGAAATTTGAGAATTCTTATATATTTTACCTAGGAATTGTATAAAATATATACGCATTCTATAGAATGACATTCTTCAGACGAAGTATGAACAAAAAGGTAAGGATAGGGTTTTTATTTAGAAGAAAGTGCCAACCCTTGAAAATATTAACCTTATTTGAGAGGAAAAAAAAAGAGTTAAAAGACTGAAATTAAGTAGGTCTATTATTTATGTTACTTCCAAACATGGATAAACATGGGTTACTTCCAAACACAGAGCTTTTGCCTTCCAATACGGCGAACCGGGTTTGAATCCCAGTCGATACGAATTCCGCATCCGGCTTGCACCGACCACAGTACTGACGGGAAATATCATCGGTGGTAATCGGATCATGGGTTAAAGTCCCCTTGCCGTCAGGCTAACCGTGGGAGGTTCTCGTGGTCTTCCTCTCCATGTAACGAAAATGTGGGTTAGCTCCATCAAAAAGTTCTCCACTAAGGCAAATTTCTCCCAATACTCGATCCAGGAGTTCCCTTGTCTTCCGGATTGGGTTCAAAATTACAAGGCTACGGAGTTGAACATTAGCAGTCGTAAGCCCATAAAATTTGATCGGCTGTTCAACGACGGTTATAAAATAAAATAAAAACATGGGCATGATGTAATGTTTATATATATTAGGCGGTGGCTTTTCGCCAATGTCTATGCTATGTCTCTTTTTATATTAGACTTAATNAATATTTTTATTAACAGAAGCATTAATACAATAAGTTAGGGTAAGTAAAGTGAGGATTAGAATTAGAGATTATAAGTGTCAGAAGAGAGCTTAAAAGTCATGCAGTGCTGTGATAAAAACGTATCCCAATCATAGTCATTTCACTAAAAAGTCTTAAAAGAAAGGATATGTCCAAGTGAGAAAGTTCTAGCTATTGAGAACTGCTTGTATTGCTTACCTGGATCATCTGTTGTTGTAACAGTTGCTGCTGAATTAATTGGGAAGCGTCTACCATTGGAACAGTCATTCCTAAAAATGTGAAAAAAATATATAAAACAAGGGATAAGAAGAATGGTAAATATGCTACCGATAATATATAAAGCACCAGCATTCTAAAATATCCAGCCATTTTATACAATGCCTGGCGTTTTTAGGCAAAGTATGAAATTTCAGAATTCTTATATATTTTACCTCGGAATTGTATAGAATATATACGCATTCTATAGAATGACAAATGTTCTTCTGACAAAGCATGAACAAAAAGGTAAGGATAAGGTTTTTATTTAGAAGAAAGTGCGAACACTTAAAAATATTAACCTTATTTTGGAACAAAAAAAAAAAAGAGTTAAAAGATTGAAATTAAGTAGGCCTATTATTTATGTTACTTCCAAACATGGGTATGCTGTAATGTTTATATATACTAGGACAGGGGTGGCGAACCTTTAGGCACCAACGTGCCATTTTTCAAAAAATTGTTAAATGAGGTCATAGACATGCCGTCAAATAATTTTGACTTCGGGATTATTGGGAAAATAATAATACTAAATACTATCAACTCAAAACTCTTTATTTACTATGAAAAAAAATATATTTTGCAGTGTCTCAATTATACGCGTAATTCAACTTAAAGTAACATCAGTGTGACTTCTGTTGTTGCAGATTGGATGACAAATAACTTACATTAGGTTGTAAGATGTTAGTTTAAGCAGGACCATTAATTTTTTTCTTTTATTGCTCTTTATTTATAGTTAGCTTGTTTTGTATGGTAATTAATTGTTTTTTTAAATAACTTATATTATGTTGTATGATGTTAGTTTAAGCAGGACTATTACTTTCCTTTTTGCTCGTTATTTATTGTTAGCTCGTTTTTTGTGGTTATTAATTGTTTTTTTTATTTGTTTTTGTGAATTTTAATTTAATAATAATATGCTTAATAGTGAAATTTGTGATCGGTGGCTTACCCAGAATACTGTGTAGCGCGCCATTGGTTCGCTATCCCTGTACTAGGAGGTTCTGTCCCTTTTTCGCAAACATTCGCTAATGTCTATGGCTATGTGTCTTTTTATATTCGACTTAATGAATCTTTGGTATACTAATTTAAGTTTCGTTTGATAATTTTAGATGATCATTGATAATTTTTCATTATGTGCACTTTTTGAAATAGCAAATTATATTTTTTCTAATAAAAAGTTTCAACTCTAACAATATCACTAACAGAATAACAGCATTACTTTTCGCATGCGAGTATTATTCTGCGGATTTAATCAAGGCCTATTGATTAAGAAGGAAAATTTCTTAGCTCAGACGCTCTAATGCAACGGTGTTTAATCGTTGGCTACACTAGTAATGATTACATCATGACATACCAGAGAGATTATAGAGAGGTAAATTTCCAGAAGCTCCAGTAGTTGATGAAGCTGATGAATTCATCCCTCCGGGAAGCGCAGGAGAAGGAGTTGATAAGTTTGGAGTCATACTTTGAGAATGAATCCCGTTCGATGTTCTTTGCTAAAAAGTTAAAAGCAAATTAAGAGCTTAGAAATGAAAACAATGTAAAATAAGTTACAAAAATTATGCTACTTTAAAATAGTGTAAGATAAGTAGGATGATTTAACTAATAAGCAGCTTACCACCCCAAATAATCACAATCTTGAAATATTTTCGGAAAAGTTTATTAGACATAAAGCATTTCTTTTACTGCATGAATATCTATTGAACACAGACCATTATTATTTTGAAATTACTGTGATGCTACAATAGACATTACATATTTCCCAGCTTTTAAAATTTCTTTAATTGCTTAAACTTTATTTTTTTAATCATTCTTAATCGAGTTGCAATTAAATTAAATCAATTAGTTAATTTTTATTTAAAGCGAACCTAAAATATTTTTTCTTTTCTTATCGATCAATGCAACGGCTAACTTTTTATTTCAGTACTAACGTAGACTCATTAATTCCCTTAAAATAAAAATCTATTTATATCTTTTTAACTCTTAAATTTCTTACCACAAATCTGCTTCAGTTACATGGTTGTAATAATTCTCACAGTCTTGTTGGCCATTCGCGATCGCCAAGGTATTTTTCAAACCTAATATTGATTATGGGGAGTTGGCTTTATTTTTGGCTATGTTATTTTTCGATGAATCACCAACCATGGATCTCTTCTCATGTTTCTAACAGTCTGTTGGGAACAATTCAGTTACTTTTTTAATTTGGCTCTTGATTAGGCAGGTCATGGGGGATTTATCTCCCATGGCCTGTTCTTCTTAATATTATGCAAAATTTACTTAACTTATAATTATGGATAAAAATATAATTTTGTACCTCGAGATCTACAAATACTTCTAAATAAAAGCTTCATTATAATTATTATCCAGTTTTTGCGTTCAATTGTTATTTTCATTATCCTGTTTTCATCACTATCTTCAATTAGTCAATTCTACCAATTCCAACAGTAACCACACCTGATTTCCATCTTCATAATTACATACTTATAATTGCTTTATCAAGTATAAAAAGTCTTGCCACCCAATACAAAAAAAGAGGCACATCCAGGGATGGAGGTGCCTCTAGGAGGGGCAGAATAGTCCCAGAGATATCCGCCAATCATGGCAAAAAGTTGCCCACACAAAATACAGTCTGGAGAGTCAGCCCGTCCAATACAGTGTAAATGCTTGTGCAGAAAGTCATGTCCAGTCAGTAGCCTGAAACAACGAAACCCCAATAGCCCTAAAGAGCTATCAGGGGACACAGTTTTAAAGAGCTTCTCCCAAGTAGCACCAAAAGCTCATCCCCAGTAAAAAGTTGCTAGTTGACTTTGAATTTGTTGACTTTTTTTTGTTTCTAATTATAAGCAACATTTCTCAGCATAGCAGAAAAATCGGAAGGGTCTAAGAGAAACAAGGAACAGCATGAATCTTTATCAAACATGGAATATTATGAAACGCTTGTTTATTATTACAATAAGTGATTTTCTTTTGTTTATAGACTTACACTTATCTACCAAAATGTTATTTTATGAATATTAAAGTGACTTGTTTTATTTTAGCATAAAATATACAACTCTCTCGTTAAATAAACTAAATATACTTAAAAAAAGCTATATTTTTTTCAAAATGTTTTTAACTTTTTTAAAATTAATATTTTCTTATTGCTAAACACAGTTTTTATTTTATTTTTACGCCATTGCAGAAACGTTTGAGCCTTTACCTGAGTATCAACTCCTCCACCAGTCACAGCCTGTCCACCGCCTTTTAAAGCCTTGGCAAGTTTGTTAGGATTAGTAAGATCTTTAAAAGCATCAATTTGCGGTTCTGGCAACAGCTCATCCAACATATGGTACGAAGGATCCGATTCGACTGAGTATCTTTTGTGGACTGGCATCGTGTTTGGTCTTGGACCTCCTTTGATAGACGCTGATAATGACCTAAAATCATAATAGAAGAAAAATATTTAATGAGAGAAATTGGTGACACAATTTTGTCCACATATTTTTACTTGTAACTAAGTACATTTGACGCAAATAAGATAACGTGTAATCAAATATTCCCATTTCGTCAATATGATCGTATTTGGCTCATTATAGTTTGTCAGTATACCTATGTTTAACCAGTATGCCTCTATTTAGACCAAAGGAGAAAAAATACTACTTTTTATTTGAAATGAGGAGATTTAAATTATAATTAGAAAATAAATTGTAAATTATACAGGGTGGTCCCGAATTCATGGTACAAACTTTAATGGTAGGTACAAGACATTGTAACAATGGGCATTCTAGTTTCTACCTTAAAAACTATTATTCATGATCGTCTGAAAATTGAGGAACATGCTAAAGCCTACGGATCTTCTTCATCAAAGAAAATGCGAGTGCAAGAGGGTAAATTTCCTGAAATGGAGAAGGTTTTGATCCAATTTTTCAATCAGTGTAGTGCGTCAAATATTCCAGTAAGTGGTCCAATGTTGATGGAAAAAGCTAAAGAAGTCGCCATGAAATTGAATCTCACAGATGGCGGCTTTACAGCAGGATGGTTGTAGAAATTCAAAGCTCGGAACGGGATCACGCGTCAAGTTGTAAGTGGTGAATTAAAAAAGGTTCCTGCTGATTCTGTCGCAGAATGGCACGAAAATTTGCCAAGCATAATAAGTGAGTACTTACCTAAAGATATTTTTAANTCCTATTTCGTAGGTGATGTGCTATTTACAGATGAAGCGACATTTTCACGCGAGGGTGTCTTTAATGCGCACAATTCCCATGTGTGGGCAACCGATAATCCACATGCAACGCGTCCACATGCGTTTCAACAACGTTTCTGTATTAATGTGTGGGCTGGTATTGTGAACGACTTTTTGATTGGCCCATACTTACTACCCACGCGACTCAGTGGCGGAAGCTATCTTATTTTTCTGAAAGAAGTGTTACCACAACTGCTGCATGATGTTCCGATCGCCATTCGTAACCGCATGTGGTTTCAGCACGATGGGGCGCCAGCACACTTCAGCATTGATGTACGGAATTACCTGAATGCCACGTTTGGTGCTCGATGGATTGGGCGTGGTGGACCAATCCCTTGGCCACCCCGATCTCCCGATTTATCGAGCCTCGATTACTTTTTATGGGGACATCTAAAGCATCTTGTTTATGAGACTCCAGTTGACTCAGATGAGGATCTCGTCGCTCGCATATCTGTAGCTGCTGCAGGTGTGCGTGAAATACCAGGCATCTTTGAACGTGTACGCCAATCGCTCCACCGACGCTGTCAAGCATGTATCGCTTCTGGTGGACGCAATTTTGAACACTTACTGTAAACATGACACTTGTCAACAACGCTTTCAATAAAATCTTTGTTTTTCCTTTCGGCCGTTATTTCGCCTGTTTACGCCTCACCGCGTCACTTGCGACTATACATTCCTATACAATAAATCATTGTTACAATGTCCTGTACCTACTATTAAAGTTTGTACCATGAATTCGGGACCACCCTGTATATTGTAATAAACCAATTTATATTTTTTTTAAAAATATGAATACAGATCTAAATATATCAAGAAATACTGAAAATTAAAGAATAATCAAAAGTAGTACTGAGTTTCACTTGAAGTACGTTTGATAGTTAGATCAAGTTCGATTGTTTAAATCAGGGGTGACCAAACCATAGCGTATGGAATAATTGGTTACCTGCAAGTGATATCCATCGTTGGTAAATTGTGACATTTGTCGATTCAGAAGGCAATCCGTTTCGACACACACAAACATCCAATTAAATGAAATTTAAATCACGTGGTTAGGCATAATCAATTTACTTCTTTTCGAGTTGCAAGTTTCCGATTACAAGTAGCAATTCAGTTATTTCTTACATTACGGAAAACCACCTACTGTTGCTCACTAGTTTTTATCCACTTTGTTTTATTTCTCCTTCTTGGCTTTTCGCTAAACCATAACTTTATAGAACGAAGCTACTGGTAAAACGTTGACCTCACGGGATCTGAATTGCCATTTTAAAGACAATGTTGAGAGAAATTTTTATGGAAATCCATAACAAATAATATAATCAAGACTTTGTCGAAAATAGGACTTATTAGGATCTTATTTAAATCTTAAAAAAAATATTAGGTATACTAAACCAATTTACCTAGCATCACTTAGTTCATCTAGGTTACCATCCAGAACAGGGTTGAACAGATCATCCAGGTACTGGTCAAGATCAGATGTGTGGGAGGGAATTCGAACATTTTTCACATGGGAGGCTAATGATGGAGCTTCTGATGTATCGGACATAGCAGAACTCTTTGGCCCTCCTACACTACTATAGTCATCTCTATTTCGATCTATGTGTGCCTTTGTAGAATGAGAAAGGCCTTTAACAGCTTGTTGTTTTCCACCATATTTTACGTAACGAGTTGATTCTGTAGTTCTACTACAACGAGAGCCATCAGGATCTGGTAAGAAGTCATCAGGTTCGCCATCTTCGTCGCCATTTTCGGGGAAATCGAACTCTGGGAATTCAATGACATCACTTGCAGCCTAAATATAAATAAAGTTATTTGATTGTTTAAAAAATGTATAATTAAAAGTATTAATAATTAATGCTTCTAGGCTGCAGAAAGATAAGAATAATTTAATATTTTATTATAAATTACATGGAGTAGATGAATATTCATGTTGGTTAAAAATAAGTCTGACAAACCGTTAAAAATGCAAAAAAAAAATAATAATAATAAAAATTAAAAAACATAAATAAAAAAAAAATAACAAGATTGAAAAAAGAAAACAAATACTAAAAATTTAAAAAGTAATAATTAAATTAGAAAACATAACGAAAGGACATAATCTTGTCATCAGTTCACATAATTATATCCACAACAACAGTACTTAACAATTTTGCATTCATGCAGCCAAAGCAAAATAAAATATATCAATATATTATTGTGAGGAGTACCATTCCTTAACACTATTTAGAGTTGTGTGATAATTCTGAAAAAAAAACCGAGGTTTTTTAGGGGAAGGTCAAATCTTTTTCCTCTTGAGCTACTTACTCTACAAAATTAACTTATCTTTCCACGTCTTTAAATTTTGCAGATCTCAGTGGACAAAAGGTACTAAGTGACAACCTGACTGTTCTGAGTATTTAAATAAAATACTTTTTTAGTTCATGTAAGTATATTAGTAGGATTATTGGTAAGGTTTGCCGTAGATAGTTCAACACGAGTACACAATTCATGTAGAGTGTTTCATAATAAGTGCCTTTAATGTACATTTTCAGAATCCTTGCTAAAATTATAACTCTGTGCTCAGGGATTCGCAATCTAAGATTTAAAAGAAAAATCTATGATCAACACTGACGTTGACAATAGCCAAAGAATGATTATAATTCATTCAAAAGGATCAAGTTTAAAGCTGTTCGTGCAGAAAAAATGCATTCAATTTAGACATACTAATTTTTGATGTTTGCCGATTAAAATCCATCATTTTTTCTAATCATTTCCAATAATGAATAGTCGAAGTTTAGAAACTATTTAATATTGGCTATTGCTAATATGTTGCTCCGAATTTCAGAAAATTTAATAAAATTGTTTACTCTTCTAAAGAATCATTTTCGATCAAGCTTATTGGTAGTGAGAATATTCAATCATTGAACTTTTGCACTAGATTATGCGACTAGAATTACTCCGTTTGGAGTGCTATATCGGTAAATTTGCGACTCTTTATACAGGGGTCTGTCCAGACGTTTTGTGAAAGGTCCGTTTTTCGTGAAATTGTGCAAAAATTACTCACATTCTTTCAACCAGGGTCCGCTTTTATGAATTTGTGCAAATAGAGTCCGGTTACTACAAAACACTTTTTCAAGGAGTTTTTAAATTGTAAATCGATACAAGATTATTCTCAGCACTGTAAAATTATAACAAAAAAATTACATTTTCAAAAATAAACAGCAATTGCTGCTTCTAAATTAGAGATGCAACCGATAAATATTTGGTATTTAGCCTATACTGCTGAACGCAGAATATTCATTTCGGACGAATAATGGAAGAATCGTCTGCCGAAGACAAAACTTAATTCGTTTACATCCATCTTTCTTGTTTTCNATATTTAAAAAGTTTTTTTTCTTTTAATTTTATAATTATATGGGTTAATAAAAAGTAATTTATATACATAATTAATTTTTAAAGCCTCAAACTGCAGTGCAATTAAAGTATCATTCCATCTCTAAACATAATTATTATTAGTAAACAATGCGTAAACACCTGTGAAAATTTTTGATAAAAGAACGTTCTAGATCAGGGGTTTCCAACTTGCATGAGGCGGGGGGCCACAATTAAAAACAGAAATCAAATGGCGGGCCGCAACTTTATCAAAATTTTTTGCAGAACTCTTTTATGTTTGAAGGAACATTAAATATCACTGTCAGAGTTTTACCAAGTTGTACGAAACAAAAGTATTGAATTACAAATTAAAATAAGAAGTGGATTTTTAAAAATATTTATTTGTTATTAATAATATTTTTAAAAATATTATATAAATAATAAAAATTCGGGCTACAATAACTTAATGTGCACCTGTGTATTAAACAATTAATGTGCAACAGATATCTAATTGTTAAGGTATTAAAACTTACGTAGCACACAAAATATTGAATTGAGGTTTGTCTGCTGCAACCACCGGAGAATAGATATTTAAATTTAAAATTTACAAATGTGTGTGAAAATATTTTCGTCCAAAATGAATGGTTTCAAAAAGTTAAATATAGGAATTTCTTCGAGAAAATTTCTGATACGCATATGCTAAGTTATATTAACAAAATACAAACAAAAAAATGAAATAAAAAAGAGCAACACCCACGATTATTTTTGTATTTGAATAAATATTTTCTTGGATGCAAAACCTGAAAAATAAATTTCTTTGCACCGTTGGTATGTTAAATTTCACAGAAAGGAAGAAATTAGGTTTTTATGAACGAGAAAAGTATTTTAAACCTATATAGATTTTTTACGAAAACTGTCCGTAAAAAATGACAACTAATATATTTTAGTTCGCGGGCCACAAAAAAAGGCTTCGCGGGCCGCCAGTTGGAAACCCCTGTTCTATAATGATTGCCTTTAATGTAAATTTTGAGAATCCTTGCTAAAATTACAACTTAATGCTTGAGAATTCGCAATCTAGCATTTAAATGAAAAAGAAAAATCTATGACCAACTCTGAAGTAGACACCATCAAAAGAAAAATTTAAATTCTTTTGAAATATTTTATTCGAGGATTAAGTTTACAGATGGTTCGTACAGAAAGAATACATTCAGTTTAGACATGCTAATTTTTGATGTTTGATGATAATAATCCTGCATTTTTTTTATCATTTCTAATAATGATTGGTTAAAGTTAAAAAAATTTTTTGTCCTTTTTTACTTTAATATTAGCCATTGCAGCGTTGCACCCAATTTCTGAAAATTAAATCGCATTTTTTACTCTTTTATAGAAACATTTTCAATCAGGCTAACTGGTATCGAAAATATCCGGTCATGATGCTTTAGCCCAAGATTATGCGATCAGAATTACTCAGTTTGGAGAGCTTTATCGGTTAATCTGCGACCCTTTATGTTAAGCTTTTTTCACTATATTTACAACGGCATTTATTAAACATGGTTATTACAAAACACATTGTGAATTACGAAGCAAAAAACGGTATCTACATTAAAGGCAACAGCTTTTCAGAATCTAAATTTTATAATGAATGCGTTTAAATCATGCAACAACGGAACTGATCACAACTTAAAACAAGAAGAATACCTGGGAGGAAGAACTAGCCGGCCTCATATGACTACTGCCATTGAGATCAGGAGAGTGGCCATTCAGTTTTCCAGAATCATTAAGACTTGAAGCTCTGTCATTTCCTATACTTCCATCCAATCTACTGCCGGCATCACTAGCATCAGTTTTGGTGTTCTTCAACATCTCTTGGCGAGAGAAATACCTATCGTTAAGAGCAGAAGATGCCAAACCAAGCTCATCTTGCCAAGCAGCAGATTGTGGAGGTGGACTCTGGACAGTTTTCGCGTGATGAAGTTCTTCCGTAACATCTGACCTGGGCTGCGTAGACGTGTTGTTCGATTTGGTGGCAAGATAGCGTTTGTTGAGTTTGCTCGTTTCGGACAGTCCTTGCAATTCCCGCTCAGTGTACCGATCGTTAAGTCTGCTTTTGGATAGTCCGATTACAGATGATGATACTGGATCTGTTCTAGATCTGCTGTACGGATCGTCAATGATCAAGTCGGATCGTGTCGTTTTGCCATTTTCAAAATAGCGATCATTCAATGCACTTGTTTTTGATAGTGGAAGATCTAATCTGGGTGAATCGTCCAATAATCTTTCATGTGAAGTGGCTCGAAGACGTTCCTTTCTTCTTTCTCTCACTATATCGAAATGAAACAAAAATTAGTTAGGATTTAATTACCTTGAGAAAATAAATTGTTTTATAATATAATAGAGCGCAAAGTAGGAACTTTATTTACGTCGCACTAAAGCTGCACAATAGGCTATTGGCGAGGGCCTGGAAAACATCGCTGAGGGTGATCTGAAGACACGTCATTGCAATTTTCATTCTCTGCAGAGCGCATGACTCCCCTGCTTTGGCAGACGGACGACCTGCGCACGAAGTCTAGCGCTTTACGGTAGAACAGTTTAACGAGGACTTATACCGCGCACCCTCGGTCCTCACTCAGGCTGATATCAAAGTGGTCACCCACCCGCTTACTGACCACAGCCAGTGAAGCTTGACTTCGGTGTTCTACTGGGAACCGTGTCTTTACGAACAGTTCACCACGGGGCATAATGGAGCACAAAAAAAACTAGCAACGACTGGAGAACGTTGAACTGAGACAGCAATTCCGGTTCACTAAGAGTCTGTGTAACATATTGGAAATATATTAATAAGTTTCGAATATATAATGCGCCAATTAATATTAAGAAACTTACATAATGTACTTAAAAGATTGTGAAACTGCGTAAATGATATTGTTTCTGCTCTCACTTTTTTTTCTCGAAATATCTACATAAAAGTTACAGCGGTAAGCCGAGATTTGAAAAGGTATTGTATCTCTCACTATTTTAGTAAATTTATTTACCTAATTATTTTCAGCAAAATTTACTCATATAAAAGAATAAGTAATTGAAACATAATCATATAAGGAACATAAATACACACTCAGTAGATAAAAGTTTTTGTTGGCATAATACTTGCTGGAAGGTAATGGAATGTACTTTTTTTGATTAAATAAAGAAAGAAAACCATTTACTATGTAGTTATTTAATCTTTCACTTAAAAAATCATACGACGTATATGTATGAATAGTTCATAAAGATAAAATTCATAGCTTTAAATAAACAAAAATTTAATGCTTCATTTTAGCAATACAGTTCAAGTGATTTGATAGTTAGTTTCAGATAATCAAGTTCAGGATACTCTTCTTCATAGTCAAGTGATATGAAAGTTTAGAAATTGTATACAGAGCAATTATATTTCATATATTTCAATCTGGTTTTTCGTGCGCATGTTATTTGAGCATTTGCTTACAAATTAGCATTTATTTTTAAACTGAAATTATTATATTAACCAGAATTGACTGATTCACAGTTTTATGTTTATTTGTAGGATAATAATCACGCTATAAAAATGTTTAAGAATAAATTGCGCAAAAAAATGACCCAATTTGGTATGGCGGTGAGAACTTTAATTCATATGAAACACACAAGCTATTAAATTTAATTTTGTCATATTATAACAATATCAACGATTGCAATTTAAAATTTGACGAAATCAAAAGAATATACACATTGAAAATAAAAAAAGTTACCATATTCGTGAGATGAATGCTGGTCGGCACGAGTTATATCGTCAATCGATCTAGACTTTACAGGTTGTCTATACCGTATTGGAGCTGGAGGTGATTCATCTATTTCCATTTCAAACGTATTAATACGTTCTGGATTGTGAGGTCTGTGAAAGAGATTGAAAAGAAATAAATAATTCCGATATCCAAAACTACTTCTAAAAAGATACTGCATCGAGCATTGTCTGAATTATCTTTTTTTTTTTTAGCTGATCTTTTAATAAAAATGACACTGATTCTTTACCTCCGCGACAGGTGGAGCTGTCACTTATTGTTATCTAGTCTCTCACAATAAAAAATCATATTTTATGAAATAAGGAATGTTTATAGATTGGCACTAAGAAAATGCTGCAACAGTACAATTCTACAAATGAGCAAATGTTACGGTTACTGTTTCTAGAATATACATAAGATTTTGAATTTTCTTCAACTTATTTAATTTTTGTTTCACTTCATAAGGTATTATCAGCAGGGATCTGTCCAGACATTTTGTAAAAGGTCCGTTTTTGAAAAATTTTGAAAAAATTACTCATAATTTGTGAATATAAAATAAACGTTAAGTCACATTCTTTCAACCAGGGTCCTGCTTTTGTGAATTTGTGCAAATAGGGTCCTGTTATTGCAAAAAAACTTTTTCAAGGACTTTTTAAATTGTAAAGACATACGAGATTATGCTCAACAATGTAATATTATAATTAAAAAAATTAAATTTTAAAAAATAAACAGCAATTGCAGCTACTAAATTAGCGATGCAACATACAAATATTTGGTATTTAGCCTATACTGCTGAACGCAGAATATTCATTTCGGACGAATAAGGGCAGAAGCGTCTGCCGAAGACAAAATTTAGTTCATTTACATGTCTTTCTCTCCCCCCCCCCTTTCCTGGGAAGGGTTTATTCGATTAACAAAACAATAATGAAGATAAAAACGGACCCTACACAAATTTGTTTAAGTTAAAATATTTTGTGAAGGGTCTGTTTTTATGAAAAGATATTTCGTGAAGAGTCCGTTAACGAACCCAAATTTCTTCTAAACAGGCCCCTGATCAGTTAATGAAATTATTTAATAGGCAATAAAATTATTTAATAATCAGTAATAAAATCATTTAATAAGGGTTCATGGATTTTAATGCTCCACAATTTCAACAACCAGCAACATGGTAGTGACAAAGAGTTCGACATCGTGCAACGGCAGCTTTTATTTCGGTACCCATCCATCTGAAGACAGGTCGACTTCAAGCTCCCATCGGGAGTAAGACACTGATATTTCACAACAACAGCTCAATGTTTTAATCATTGTGACAATGAGGCTATATGACTAATTTATTCTATGAATTTAAATGACAGTTTCAACAATCATGCATTAATTTTTCGGGGATTTAATTCATTCAAAAAACTATTTGGATATATTGTTTAAATCAAGGCAAACCTTATTTTGTTAGAGAAGTATTTAACAATATGACATTCAAAGATAATTCAAATAACTTACGATGCAGCCCAAATGTTACTAGAAGGAACACTCTTTTTAGCTTTGTTGGCGGATACAAGAAAAAAGGATTTGCAGACTGGAAAAGCTGGTGGGACTTCAGTTTCTGCCACTAAGTCCAAAACGTAATCAAATCCATTTAGCTCGTAAAAGTCCCCATCATCCTCGAGGTCTACACTCCAACCAAAGCAATCATCAATGCCTCTGGAATACAAATATATTATATTAAAACTACGTCGCAATACAAAAGTTAGTGCCTCTTCTATACAAATATATTGAATTAACACTATATTGTACCAAAAAAAATCAATGCTTCTGGAATACAAATATATTGGATTAAAACTACATCGCATTAAAAAAATTAGTGCCTCTTGTAAACAAATATATTGGATTAATACTATATTGTACCAAAAAAAATCAATGCTTCAGAAATACTAATATATTGGATTAAAACTACTACGTCGCGTTAAAAAAAATTAGTGCCTCCTGTGTACAATTATATTGGATTAACACTATATTGCATAAAAGAAAAATCAATGCATCTGGAATACAAATATATTGATTAAAACTATCTCGTGTTAAGAAAGCAATGTCTCAGAAAATCAAATATGTGGGGTTAAAGCAACCACGCATTGAAAAAAAAATTTTAACAAATCAGTTGTAATTATTAACAATTTAAGCTGTTAAAAATTTTTTAAAACACAGGTATGATAATTAGATGTTGACTTGTGACATAGTTCAAGTTTCATACTAATTTTTGCATAGTTAATAATTTTATAAATTTGATAAATGTCGTTGCAATTTAACAGTTTTTTTAAAATCCGTTTTTAGATGGACCAATATCTTGAAATGGAGTTTATATACAGTAATTATTGTAGAGTCAGAGCTATTTCAATGCGAATTTGAACAGAATTGTAGCTAACTACAGTAGGAATGAAAAATAACTGATCGATTTTGCTGCGCAATTATTTCCAAAAGCTGGAATTGTAACAGTCGCAACTTAGATATCTTGTTTCTTTGTTAATATGGTGTGTCAAAGGGGATTAACGTTAATTAATTCACATTCAGTATATCAAATTTTCTTTTTTTTTAAATATTACAAGTTTCTTCGAGTTTTTTTTTGCGATTAATTTCATATTTTAAATTAGAAAAATAATTACAATTACTTTGAATGATTATATTTATATATACTCATGTTTATATGCATATAAAAACTAAACAAATTTTTATATTTAAGAAACAATTTTTAAACAATTATTTTTAAATAATAAAATCAATTTCCTTAATAATTTCATAATTTGAACTCAAAAAACGCCATTTTTGATTTGAATTTCATTTAGCTACATTTCTTAGCAAAATTTCAGGCATTCTAATCAAAGTATAAATTTTTACGAATTATTAAAATTTTTTAAGAAAATAAACATAATTAAAACTCAAACTTTAACAGAAATTCTTGTTATGAGCTTGAAAATTGTTAAAATATAATAATTGGGGTATTACAAGCAGGAGCATAACATGCTTTCTCGATGTTATGTTAGTTATAACATTTATAAAACTGAAATATTGCAGTTGTAAACAAAATCAAGTATACGAATTGATAAATCTAATTCAATACTAAAATTGAGGCTATTTCAATTGTAAGATAAAATATAGTTGTTTGGATAAAATAATAGCAGATATAAATTGATGACGTTATGTTTTGAAATAGAAAAATTAGTTATAATTAACAATTCGTAATTAGGAGATTAAATTACGTTTGGAACTAAAAATAAATAAAAATGTTTATTAAATTAAATTTCAAATTATTTCAAATGTTTAGGAAGTTTTAATTTCAGTTCGCTGACTGAAAATAAGATTATTTATCTAATATTTAAAAAATATATACTCCAACGCCCAGTTAATTGCTCCCACGCAATTCGGACAACTGTTTATCGATAAAAATACTGACAGTAATTTTGTTCTTATCTCACTCCCACTATTGCACTATTTGATTTAATCTTTACTCTACAATTACTTTTAAAATAAAAATTTACTTTTACAATACTTTTACGATTACTTTTACAATAAAAATTATTTTCTGTCATGATAAAAAAAAAATACCTGCTTACACGTTCAGTAAAATAGGGTCAATGGTTGAACAGCAATATCTTTATTTCAAACCATAATACGGTTCGATTTCACCACAACCTAAATAAGGTGATAAATTGAACCCTATTTCCATTGAATTTGAGCCGTAGTATCTCGTATTCAAGTTTATAAAGTACGATTATATGCCTCAACTTTTTACCATGTTACCTTTACAGCATATTTAAACAATATCATAGTTTAACAAGATTCGAAATTTTTAAGTATTTTTTTTTACCTTTTTAACTACTTAATTATTAACACCCTTATTACGTAAATTAAAGATTTGAATTACCAAAGCCAAAATAAAACAATTATAAAGTTACTATAGAAGAATAATCTGCAAAGTGATAAGTTAAAAAATCTTATCTCTTTCATACCGATAAGACTTAAAATATTTTATGATTGCAAATAAACATTAAACTAAACATAAAAACTTTAAATAGGAAAATAAAGCTGTTAAAGACAAACAGTGGCAAAGTATACTCACAAAAGTTATAAATCAGTTAAACAAAATATTACTGAAGCTATAAAAGGCTTCGATATTAATTTACGAATATGGAAGGTTAAGCACACCGATTAAAATATTTTATTCTTTTGGAAAAGATAATCGCCATGGCATTGTTGACAGAAGGCGCTCTTATCAGACAATTAATGGTATTTGGAGGACAAGAAAAAAAATCTCAATTTTTCCACAAGTAATGTTTTTGAATAGGTTTATTTCTCTTATAAGTAAATTTCAAAACAACGTTGCTAGTTCAATCTCTTGCATGATATCGCACTCTTAATTATTGGTGGCGGTTTACAAAAACAATTATATTTTTTAAGTTTATTGTCTGACGTTAGACTTATTTAAAAATCTTTTCATTTAATGTTATTTTGTAGTTATTTTTTTCACGTTTTGATTAGAAGTGGAACATGCATGGAGAAAGAGTCTATGGCGCATTTGAAGTTTGAACCTGATAATGAAATATCTTCATTCATGCAAAGTACTATATGTCATTTTTTTCCATTATATTTTATTCACATAAAAAGTCAAACTGTGTGTAACTAAAAGAACTGAAAATGGTTCATTATTATTTACAATAAAGGAGTCAAAATATTTAAAACGATCATAAGTCTTTTAAATAGCAAAAAATATTCTTTGTTTAAATTGCAAAAAATATTCGGATTGCAAATATTTACTGAACTTGTACAACGAAAATAACAAGCTTTGTTTATTTTTAATACATGGAAGTACTATTTTCGAAAGTAAAAAACGTTGTTGTTTTGCTGTAAAATAATATAGATTCACCAAAAATGTTCACTGAACTTCATGGGTAAAAAGGAAAAAAAAATCACGAAAACGAAATAACGAATAGTACAACTAAAAAAAAATCACGAAAAACGGAAATAACAAGTTTTGTTCAAATTGCAAAAAATATTCGGATTGCAAATAATTACTGACATTATACAACGAAAGTAACAAGCTTTGTTTATTTTTAATACATGGAAGTACAATTTTCGAAAGTAAAAACGTTGTTGTTTTGCTATTAAATAATATATATTCACCAAAAATGTTCACTGAACTTCATGATACAACGAAAAAAAAAATCACGAAAACGAAATAACGAATTGCACAACTAAAAAAGAAGAAAAAAATCACGAAAAACGGAAATAAGCTTTGTTCAAATTGCCAAAAATATTCGGATTGCAAATAATTACTGAACTTGTACAACGAAAATAACAAGCTTTGTTTATTTTTAATACATGGAAGTACAATTTTCGAAAGTAAAAAACGTTGTTGTTTTGTTATTAAATAATATATATTCAACAAAAATGTTCACTGAACTTCATGATGCAACGGGAAAAAAAATCACGAAAACGAAATAACGAACAGCACAAAAAAGAAAACAATAAGCTTTGTTTAAATTGCAAATATTCAGAAGTACAATTTTCGGAAGTAATAATCATTGTTGTTTTGCTGTTACATAAAGTACATCCTCCAAAATATTTATTTAGCGACATGGTACCACGAAATGCGAAATAACATGTTTGGTTTAAATTGCAAATATACAAAACATAATCATTATTTGGCAACAAATAAGTGAGTAGTTCAGGTAGATGTGCAATCTCACCTGGCTTTAAGCAAAGAGGCTGCAAATTCTTCTCCAGTGGTGAGAGACTCCACAGGGCCGTACATACTGCCGCCTAAAACAGAAAAATAACACAAAAAAATATTAATACATATTATAAACACTGGGATGAGTCATTCACATTTCTGCTCGAGTTCATGGTTAAACATTGCGTGACTAACGGCTGCAATATTTGAGAGAAGCATTGGAATTATTAGTTTTTCCTCAACATGAAAAAAGAGTACTACAATACACAGTGATCATGTTTTATAAAAAATGGACATAACATTCGATTCTGTTTATCTTACTACTTTCATGACTATCGTATATTAAAAGAATTAAATATCAATAGTAATGAAAAGAAGAGTTCTGCGTGTGTGTCTCTATCTTATAAGTCCAGAACTGTTTGAGCTAGTGTTCTGGAATTTAGAATGCTGGTGTAAGGAACAATTTTAACCTTCAACTCTAATAACCGTTCAAATAAAATCTCAATCCGTTCGGCATGGATGCTTGAAGAAATATTTTTTTTATGCATTTTAAATTTTCTAATGTATTTAAGATGCTCCCAATCAGAGTTGAAATAAGGGCTATTGCCTTACGAGATGGAATCATTTATATTGCTCCAAACCTAAGCAATATTGAGTCCTGAATCTGTTATATTGCTCCAAATCTAAGCAATATTGAGTCCTGAATCAGTTATAATAATCCAAACGTAAGAAATGTTACGTACTGAATCGGTTATAATGAGCCAAATAACTGTTATTACGTACTGAATCGGTTATAATGAGTTAGCAACATGACATATTAAATAGGTTATGATGCACCAAACATCAATGATATTACATATTAAATCAGTTATAAAGTGCCAAATAACTGTTGTTACGTATTGAATCGGCTATAAAGCGTTAAACATAAGCGACATGACATATTAAATCGATTATAATGCTCCAAACATGAACGATATGGAATCTGTTATAATGTGCCAAAAATGTAACTGACATTACAAATTGAAACGGTTATAATCCACTAAACATAGACGAGATGACATATTAAATCGGTTGTAATGCACCAGACATCAACGATATTGCATTAACGAATCGGTTATAATGCTCCAAACGTAACTGACATTGCGTATTGAATTGGTTATAATGCGTCAAACATAAGCGACAATACGTACTCCAGGCAAACAGATAAAACGATGTTGTCTTACGAGTGTCTGACGAGTGAACAAATTAAGTTTGGAGTAAAAATTAACAACAACAAAAAAATCACTGGAACAACTCTGGGTCAAGGAAACTACGTCTATCCATTGAAACAACGCGAGCTCTATATAAAATGAGAGACTGCAGTTGGAAATTTTAAGTGCAAAAAACCATGTTTGTAGTATTTTGAAACTAAAAAAGTAAAAATACAATATAAGGAACCAGGAGGCAAACAAAAGTGTGAAGGGTGCCATAGAATCACATGAAAGGGTCGTTTTGAATCTATTCCAGAAGACAAGGGAACTCCTGGATCGAGTATTAGGAGAAATTTGCCTTCCTCGAGGACTGGCAACTAGTATTTGAAGATAATTATTCTGATTTTCTCAATTTAACTAACTTTGCTTTAAACTTGATTACCTGCAATAAGGGTCATTAAAATTTCATTAGTTCGGTAATAGTCTCGGAAATATTAATACGTTTAATGGTAGCAAAACTATGTAGACAATTTTATTCTAAACGTGAAAACTTATGTGAAATATTTAGAGAATTCGAAGAATTTAATATATTTAGAGAATTAAAAAGTTTAAAAAAATAAAATATAAAAATAGTTAAAAATGAAAAGCAATTAAACGAATTAATTTAAAATCGGCGAACGAAATTTTCCTAAATTTGCTTTTAATTTTTGTGTATTATTTCAAATATTTTAATTTAATAAAGATATAACATTCTTTTTAACTCTTAACAATTTAAAATCTTTCAATTCTCTCGTATACTGTTACAACGACGTAATTTTGAATTGAATTATGTTATGTCTTAATATCAAAATCTTGAACTAAAAATTGTTGCCAAAAATAAGGCCTGGAAGTGGAAATATAGTTCAGATTTTTTTGCGAATTTTTTTATTTTTTTTTTTTTATTTTTTTATTTTTTTTTTTTTTTAAAGAGAGGTGTTTTCTGCCAGTTTAAAATTAAATCAGAAAAATTTAACCAGAGTCTGAAGCTAAAAGCCTGTGATAATTGAACTCTGTTATTTGTTAGAAACAAACACCTTCAACTATTTTTTAACTATCTAGTTGCAGTCTTAAAATAATTAGTTCAAAATGTATACTTAAGTATGAGTACTTTCAGCTATTCCGTTCAAGTTTAACCATAGTATCGTACAATCAAGTATGGTCAAGGACGGGGGTGAAACTATTTATGTCCATGAAAGCCGAGTCTAAAAAAACAAATTACAATGCCGACAGGAACCGTTTATCTACATCAAGGCACACTTTCACTGTGTAATAACTCTCGGAAAAAATCTTACAAAACTTAATACTCCTCAAAATGTAACAGTAGTAATCCAAGTGTAATTTTTTTTTTGGAAAATGGACGCAAATCGTTTTTCCACTTTAATCTATTATATGATTACAGAAAGCTCGAACGATATTAAGGCAGTAAAATTTCTGACAGTAAATAAGGATTTCAAATATGGAGATGTTCTTTACTGAAATCAGAATTATCAAATACAGTTAATAAATTAGCCTAAAAATTCCAAGCAACACATTTAAACGCATTCTATTTATGATTGTGAATGTCGTAATTTTTCAAAAAAGAGCTATGCTGGATCTTTTACACTGAAGCATATAAATAAAATTTGTTTGCACGTTACATAAATATAGTCAAACCAGAGACAACAAAACATGAACTCAACATCAAAGTATTAATCCTAAATTTGCAAAACAAACGCTACAATAACATTTACTATTATATCAAAAAAATCAGTTCAACATTCAACCATTGGCACTTAAAACAATTTTTCAAATTTGTGGAACTTTGTGAGTAAAATGGAAATGGAAATTTGTTTGTATTTAAGTTGAGCTTAAGTAATCATGCGTTCAAGTCCATGAAGTCAGATAATGTGCTTTCATTTAGATCCATAAGTTGAATGAAATTTGCTAAATAATTTAGTTCAACTCGCACCGAAATTTACAGCAATGTACAGTTTGACCCGCTTTAATGAACTATTTGAGGAAGCACGCAGCAATAAATCTAATATAAATGATGGTTCACTTTTTCAAATACTACTCAGTAGTATTATTAGAACAGATGATTACAACTCCTAATATCCATTATAAATTATTTACTAACTAAATATCCCATTCTAATAAAGTTTCCTTACTGGGAATTTCTTCCCATAATGAAATTTTTACTTCGAACGTTATATAACGTTCAAAATATTCTCCATATAACGAAGTCGTAGTCTTCTTATAGCGATTTTTTAAGATGTTTATTTATTTGATTTCCACCATTTTGGGCGAAAGCTACAATTAGAAGTTGGAAATTCTGCGCAACTAATTCGCTTTTTCTGTTTGTGGAAACATTCGCTATATTAAATTTAATGAAATAACTCATTTTAAACACTCCTTTATAATGTGTATTACTTCATTTATATTTAAAAGTCATAATTATATACTTCTGAACTTATCGCATGCATAGACTGAACAGTTTGTATAATTTACATAAATAACTGCTATAGAGAAATTTTAGCTGACTATAAACGAAACAAATAATATTTCTCAGCTGCTTACGATTACAGAGATGCCAACTTGCTCCGGGCAGCAAATATATATTTTAAAGTGGTAGTTTATCAATTGTGATTCTTGGTTTAATAAATTCAATTTAGTAGATTTTTATCCACCACTATTTCTATATAATTCGTAGACTTATATAATTCACCAACTTACAGCACTTAAGTCATGCTCTACCTTTTAAGAAGCAAGCAAAAATAGTTAAATATTGGCAAAATTTACCATGAAGTTATTTACCTTTTCTTTCTTTATTATTTTGGCGTGTCCGGAGCAGTTGGCATCTCTGCTATTATCGGGTGAAACATTAGTAAAATAACGTTTCGGACGGAATAACTAAAAACATTCACTACAACAGAGTGTTCTCTATATCCATAGTTCATTATAGCGGGTTTAAACTGTATTAGGATAAATCAAATGCACAAAATGAAACTCACCGTCAGAAAACTTAGCTTCCAGAGCCATATTCGTCCTGCGGGTGTTAGACTTCCATTCCAAAAGACTAGGTGGATAAGTCCTTCGACCTTCTGGATCAAGCTTTTGACCCTGCAGGAGTTTTCTTTGGCAATGTGCCTTGTATCCGTCATGAGCGTGGTCGGACACGTACCTGTTCACAAACAATCAATGAATCAATTAGGTGAGTCTCTCTCTGCATAATACAAAAATACAAAACAACCTTTAACGTTCATGAAGAAAATTATCATTCTCGAATCCTTGTAGAGAATTATTTCTAACACAGACACGAGAATTTCCGGAGACAAAAGCTGCAGCACCTGCAAGCTGGAAACGGCTGTGTATACATGTTAGTCACCCAGTGCAGCGCTACGATTTTTGTTCCATTCTCATATCATGTAGATTAATTGAAAATTATCATATAGATTAAGCGGATTCAAGCTATAGAATGGAATAATAAATAGAACAAAAAACACATGGATAGGAAAAGCATGTTTTTTACCAAACAAAACAAATAAAACGGTGATTAATAATTATTTCATTTTTTTAATAAATTTTTTGTATTGTTTTAAATGCACGATGTTCCGTTATGATTAACCCTAATATGTGTTTTTAGAATAATTGAATATCAAGGAGGAAGAATGGCTTATGTCCGTTTTTCACAAAAATGACAATTTGATCGTTTTCTGTTGCATTTTGAGAATTACTTACTTTTGATAAATCAATAAAGTGGAAAATCAGTTCTTCGTTACAGTTATTGCATAGTAAAAATGGGCCATGTTGGATAAAAACGGCCCATGTCTGCTTCGAAATTCGTTTTTACTCAGATTCAACTTTCATGAACATAAATCGTTCTCCCCCCTCCCCCCTTTTTGGTTTGCACTTGTCAAAATAAATAGAAAAAGTATACACTATAAAAATCGAAAATTAATATTTAAGAGAGAGAAATGCTGAAATCTAAAGAATCGATGCTGAAGGAGTTCATGCTGAAAACATCAAAACCTGTTTGATTGCCTAAGATAATTTTTCCATGATCAATGCAGGTGGTTTACAGATAAGCGATCTTAAACTAAAGATTAAGCATAATTATGAATGTCTTAAATAATCTGCAATAAAGCAGTATGTCTTTAATTTTCAATCATATTACTTTTCTTATTCAGGTTTTATGACTGAGACGTTATTAAGAACTACGAACGAAAACGCTATTTTCATAAACTATGATCTATTCCTACGAAAAACAACTCTGGAATTGAACTAGATGACTTAACTCACAGAAGTCATAATACTGTGGCTGTTAAGGGTAACTACTAAGGTTTCACATTATTTCATTTCCAACTGAAACGCTTGTTAGAAGAAAAAAAATTAAATTCTCATTGTATTTTGTATCCTAATTGAGTATGGTTTTTTATTGAAGATCTTCAACATAATTAAAACACAATCAACAAGTAATTTTTCCTCTAGTTGTGACAAAAAGTTAACGAGACAAAAAATGGTGGCCAACCTGCGGCAGCGAGCCACATGCAGCTGCTCCTTGAAGGATTATTTGTGGCTCTCGATAAATGTACCAGAGTTTCCTTTTCATTTTTGTGCTATTAAAAAACTATTATCGTTCCGTATGTGTTTCAAAATATCTTTCAAATTACTGAGAACAAATATGAAAGACTAAGAATCTGAAGAATTAGAATTAATAGAGATGCAAGAAGATCAAACTCTACAATTAAAATATAAGTTGACGTCGATTATTAAATTTTGGAAATTTGTACCAGAATCGAAGTATCCCGAATTAAAAAAGGCTGCTAGTCGAATTATTTCAATATTCGGAACAACGTACTTATGTGAATCATTTTATTCCACTTTATAATTCAAGAAATCCAAACACCGATCAGTATTAACTAACCAGCATCTCAAAGAATTACTGGGAATTGAATTGAATTGAATGTGGGGTTTAGTGGCACAAGGTCCAAAAAAGGACATACTGCGAAGAATTACTGGGAAGTGCTGTCACCAATTATTCACCAAATTTTAAAGAATTATGAAGAAAAGTAAAATAAATCCGTTTAATTTTTAATATTTAAATTCACTACACATATTTTGTACTTTTACTTACTTGTTTTCAATAAATATAATTTATGTAAAAAAAAAAATACTTTTTTTACATACCTTTTAAAAACGTATTTAATTGCGGCTCGCAAAAAATTAAAAATTTTGAAAAATGGCTCGACTATTAAGGAGTTTGGTCACCCCTGGCATAGATTGATCATTGATAGTTGACCCGCAGCAAATAATGCCGTAGCAGTGATGCCATCTCAAACATCTCTATTTAGAATTTTGTCCAAACAAAATTATCAACTGTCAGAGCATACTTCTTGTCAAACCAGCACGAGTTGTAGTGTTTGAAATGCAACTTACTTGAGCAAATATTTGTAGAGGTGTTTCGATGGTGTGAAGCAACTTAGACAATTAGCCATAAGAATCCAAGCTCTTTCATTATTAGCATCATTATCGTTCTTCCACGTTTGATTGCAAAGTTGGCAGATAATCTCATCTCTCATCGCTTCATTCAATAGACCTTGTTGGACGATGTAATCACCCAAAATCCGCTCCTTCTTACCGTTCAGGTTATTGTCATTCATAAATCGAAGAATCTGGAAATAAATGATTAAAAACTGTGAGGCATTCGCGCAGAAGTTGTAATGTCTTATCAGCAAATTCATTACTGTTATATAATGATTTAATCTGTGTCCTGAAGCAAACATTTCCTATGTCAGTATTTCAAGATATTTGGGACAAATTTTTTTAAATTTCTAAAAAGAAAATATTGAACCATACTATTTTTATGTTAATCCTTCAAAGATTTTCTGATGAATCTCGTTTGGAGATTGGCTGCGGTGTTTTTCTTTGTAAAATTTAGGAAATTTCTTAATGGATTTCCTAAGCATAATCTTTGATGAAATTTTGACATTGATTGTTATTGCATATTAAACTAAAGTCATAATGATTGTTATTACAGATCATATATTGACTGTTATTACATATTAAGCCACATATTATTATTGTTGTTACACATTAAATAGTATATGTATTGATTGTTCTTACATATTAAGCCGCATACATCTTGATTATTAATAAATATTAAGCCGCAGTATATTATTTAACATTGTAAAAACGTAACCTCCTCAAAACTTACTTTTCCATTGGTATTTTGTTTACAGAAAGAGTAATGAAGTTTGAATAAATTTTAATTTCTTTCAACTGTTGGAAATAGTACCTCACGTTGAGCCATAACATCATTCATATTTGATTCAACTTTAATACTGGGCCAAGACAAACCATATCATGAGCAAATAAATCATTCTTAAATTTCATTACACGATTCAATATTTTAACCTGAATGGTTAAGCGGTTCAATTCGAAACCGTATAAAAATTGCAGCAAATTTGCTAAATAGTATGATTCAAAGCGCTTATGTTATGGTTCAACGTTTAGACAAATATTCTGAGAGTGTACTATTTATAACATCATTATCTGTTTACATTCATCTCAATAAAACAAAGAAAAAAATAAATTTGTATGCGTGTATATGAATTATTACATTTCTCATTTTTGCTTGATTACTCATCCGTATGGTTTCCAGATTCCAATAAGTTTAAACCCAAGTAGACAGATATAAATTGTTCCAGAAATAAAATAAAAAATATAGTTACGCAATTATGTTTATGCTGAACACTAAATCAAGAAATAAATTAAGTCATAAAATCAAACATTTCACACTTCCAAATATTCCTTTATTGGGCCATTTCTGAAATAAAACAGAAATTTTTAAAGATTATGAGAGATTATTTTTCTATTATTAACTCAGGAAAAAAAGCAGACAATCACAAATGACGAGTTCAGAGCCGCGATGGCTCAGGGGATAGAGCGTTCGCCTACCAATGAGGCGAACCTAGTTCGAATCCCAGTCGATACGAACTCCGCATCCGGCTTGCACCGACCACAGTGCTGACGGATCATGCGGTATATCCTCAGTGGTAGACGGATCATGGGTTAGAGTCCCCTTGCCGTCAGGCTAACCGCGGGTGGTTCTCGTGGTCTTCCTCTCCATGTAAAGCAAATGCGGGTTAGTTCCACCAAAAAGTCCTCCACGAAGGCAAATTTCTCCCAATACTCGATCCAGGATGTCCTTGTCTTCTGGATTGGGTTCAAAATTACAAGGCTACGGAGTTGAACAGTCGTAAACCCATAAAATTGGGTCGGCTGTTCAACGACTGTTATAAAAGAAAATGACGAGATAAAGTATTCACCTCCCAATGAGGAGACCCAGGTTCTAATACCAGCTGTAGCTAGTTGATGGGAATTCTGATCCCGACTAGTACCTACCACAGGGCTGACATAAAAAATGCCCAGTCATAGGCTGATCATTGGTTAGAATCCCCTTACCATCGGGCTAACTGTGGTATAGTTTCGTTGTTTCCTCTCTCCATGCAACGCAAATGCGGGTTAGTTCCACCAAAAAGCTTGATGCACCAAAAAGTCACAATGCTTGATCGAGGAGTTCCCTTGTCTTCTCGGTCGGGTTCAAAATTACAAGATTACGTAGTAGAACATTAGAAGTCGTAAACCCGAAAATTGGGTCGGCTCTTCAACGCCTTTTATAAAATTAAATGACGAGATCAATAAATTAAAGCATTAAATACGATTTTGAAGAAGAAAAAAACCAATTGAATTTAAGAATATGTTTATGCGTTTTAACTTTATTTAATATAATTAATCTTTAAATAAAACTATTGTTATAATAGAAAATAATTTGTTAGCAATAGAGTTAGTGAGCATTACAGAGATAAAGTTTCAGCATGATTGACTTTTGCAAAGACGTGGACAGAACCTCATATTGATAAAATGTTTCATTGTTTTTACCTAAAGTAATTTCACAATCTTGAGTAGAGATTTATGATATAAAGCTTAACAGAAAATATTTTACTGCAGGATAGCATGGGATAAATTTTTTAAGGCAAATTCTATTTCTTAGTATTTTGAAATTTAAAGTGCAATAAGAGAAAACTGGGTTCCGATAACCCTAAACTAAACCATGAAATTTCAAATGCTGAAAAATATTTCAAAATATTAAAATGCAAACAAATCGTTACAGGATTACTTTGCGTAATCCTGAGTTTTCCTGCCATAATTTGTTTGCATTTTAAGAAATTTAAAAAAAATTAGCATTTGAAACTTAATGGTTTACTCTAGATTTACCTAAACTAACTTTTTAGATTCTTCAAATTTTAAATTACTCATGCAAATGAAAAGAAATTTTCCATGATAAGTGTCTCCCGCGGTGTAGTGCAATTTTAAAACTACCTCAAATTTACCAAAATATCATTTAAATATGTTAATCTCTTCCATAATTCGCTTGATTCCTGTTACATTTGTGTTAATAAATCCCAAAGTTATTTTAAAAAATATTGTATTTTGCTATTAATTTGTAATATACAATTAATATCTATAGAAACAAAATATATCTATAGAATATCTAATCAATGTATACAGTATTCACTTACCAATTTAAACAAGGCTAAAGAACACTGGTAGTCCGATTCATTAGTCTTGGCTAAAAATGGCGTTTTAATTGGCTCCCGTTTCATTCCCCAGATGTGGGCTTTAAAGTAGACATTAGTAAACTTTGTAAAAGCATATTGATCAATGTCAGAAGGAAGGCGATATTCTGGTAATATGGATTTAGCTATCTCGCCAACAACCTTCATGACATTTCGATCGCTGTGGACGCATTGCCATTCTAGAAAAGAAAAATACATTTCAAACTCTTAGGAATTTAATGGTACTTTAATTTCTCTTTTTTAAAGAAAAAAAGTTTTTGAAACATACCATCCAGTTTACTGAATATAAAAGCAAGTTCAGCTGGTATCTCAAGATGGTTAACTCCTGCAACAGCCCTGGATGTTCTTTCTTGTTCTTCACGATTGGCTCGTTCTTTTACACGTTCTATAGCTATTCGATCAGCTTCCCGTTTTCTTGCGAGAATGGCTTTGATCTGAAATATAAAGAAATCGTTAAGATATTCAATATCTGCTTGATTATAGAACAGAATGCTGATAACCTAGACTCATTTAAACGTTTGTCATCTTTAATTCATAACACTGGGGAACAAATTTTTTCTTGTATTTGTACAAATGCTCCACGCTACCTAATTCGGGAGTGAGGGTTTCGATTCTGAAATTTGTAATGGAATTTTGCACTTAAAACTATAGATTTTTTTAACACGTTTAACGCCACGCTAATTTTACATGACTTGCCCATCTGGCCACGGTAAATAACTGCGAACTAAATTTGCAATTATTAGACGGATTTTGCTACTTTTTAGAAGGTTTGTCATGACATATCTGACAAAAGTGGTGAATTATATAATCCTACGAATTGTTTAAAAAAAGGGGTGGATAAAAATCTACTAAATTGAATTTATTAAACCAAGAATCACAATAATTAAGTAAATTTTGAATAAATTTTCTGCAATTCCATAAAAGAGTGTAAATTTCATAGTTCTATATCATGTTATACGCTGTCGGCCAGCTGTTTTTCGCGGCCTATGCGAAAGGTCAGTGTCAACAATCGGTGGCAGACGCAGCCTAAATGTAATTTCAACGTCAGCCACCGGTGGCTGACGCGGCCTAAATGGAAAGTCCAGTGTTCAACGTGTTAAAAAATGTACGAGTTTTAACAAGTTTTGTGTAACAGGGGTTCGTAAAAATGTTGCGACAGACTTCTAGGGAAGTTAGGGTACATTAACAGCATTAAAATTGCTTAAGAATTCATGTCGGAAATGTCAACGTGTTGAGCTAGGGGCGATTTCCTATTATAACCTGTTCAGAAGCACATGAGGCAACAGTTCACAATAGGTAAGTGCCAATAGCCATGTATGGGCACTTACCTATTGTCATGTATATTTCTGGTGCAATAATAATAATATCTTCTGAACAACCCGTATTTTTGGCTTGACTAACTTTTAACTTGTAGTTAGCATAATTATAATCACTACATATATTATGAATTCGTTGTATTTAAGCTTATGTGTTTCTTTAAGCATTAAAAAGAGTTTAATGACAGGAACATTCTTTAAGTTGCATTTACTTAAGCTTAGTTTTTAAAAACTAATTAAATTCAGAAAACTCACCTTATCGTATTCTCTTTTTTGCCTTATCATGCGATAATTGGCTTGCGTTCTAATAATTCCCTTCCGCACAGTCTGGTATCGCCGTCTGAAAAATAAGACAGTTTGAGATAATTAAATATCAGTTTACTTAAGCAGTGAGATAAATTAATTCTACAAAGTTTAATCGTTTACATTAGCAGTTAAAACAATTCATGTAGTTAAATAGTAGTCTACATTAGCTGTGAGTTAAGGCAATTTTATACAGCTAAATACATTAGCAGTTAAAGCAATTTGATATAGTTAAATAGTAGTCTACATTAGCAGTGAGTTATTGCAATTTGATAGTTAAATAGTAGTCTACATTAACAGTTAGTTAAAGAAATTTGGTATATTTAAATAACGTTAGCAGTTAAAGCAATTTTAAATTGTTAAATAGTAGTCTACATTGGCAATTAGTCATTATTTTGATAGCTAAATAATAGTGTATATTAGCAGTGAGTTAAAACAATTTTTCATGGTTTACTAGTCAACATTAGCAGTTAAAGAAATTTGATTAGTAAAATAGTACTCTACATAAGCAGTTAGTTAAAGCAATATGATATTTAGTGAAATAATTGTTTACATTAGCAGTTAGTTAAAGAAATTTTAGAGATTTAAACAGCAGTTAAATTAGTAGTTTTACAGTTACAGCAATTTGATACAGTTATATAGCAGTTTACATTAGCATTTATTAAAACAAATTCGATATAGCTTTAATGAATTTGAAATATTCATTTACTAATTTGATACAGTTTTAATCAATTTGAAATATTCATTTACTAATTTGATATAATTTAAATGAATTTGAAATATTCATTTACTAATTTGATACAGTTTTAACGAATTTGAAATATTCGTTTACTAATTCGATATAGTTTTAATTATATATAGATATTTATTTACCAATTTTGCAAGTAAACAAGTAAATTAGTCCAGTTAATCAGAGTTATTAGATAATTTGCATACCTGGCGGTCCAGGCCCTGTATGCAGTTTGTATTTTGACTGCGCCGCGCCGCATACTCTTATATTTCTTTCTAGCTTGATATCCTCGGACATATCTCTGGATGGTGACCACTGACCCTCTAAGGATGTTAACTCTTTCTTTCTCCAGGGCTTGTTCCAACGACTCCCTTAAAAATACCTGCAAAAATAAATACTCAATTAAGAAGAAATACTTAAAAACTAACTTTAAATATTAACATATTAAGGGTTGGACACGGCTATACTGCGCGAAGTTTATGTTTTATTCCATATTCAGTTTAAAGAAATCAAACAATAACGAAGTTTAGGACAAAAATTATGATAAAAATTTGTCAGATTTTTACCATTTAAGAGTTCAACAATCAGATAAGAGCTATAATAAATAAAGAGCTATAAGAATAAAGAGCTATTTTTTGAGAAAACTTTGAAAGGTAATAAAAGAAAACTCGTGCATTATCACTCACTAATGTATTATACTAACCAGCGATATTTTTGTTAACGGTCCGTTCTTGAGAAATTACTAAAAATCTACTCATTTAGGAATATGTGAAAATAAAATTCTGCTTTCGTCTGTATATAAACCAGGAATTTCGAATTTTTTAAAATTATGAATAAAAAATTCCATTGATTTTATTTTTTCCGAGGACAAATTGTCTGAAATGTTTGCAAGCAGAAAGAAATTCTAGTAAAATTACTTTCAACTGAAAGATAATAACAATTCTGGTTAAAAAAAAAAGCTACAAAATTTAGGTTAATGAAACTAAAATATACGGTAATTTTCCCGTTTATATGGTAACTGCTTACAGGAAATTCAGATTTTCAAAATTATAGTTCCCATTACCACATATTCAGTTCAAAATTCAAAGCTGAAAAGAAAGTCAACCAAATCAATGTCATACTCTAAGGTATTATGATAAAATTATCAAACTTTTGCGTTTATTAAATTTTACCATACATTAGAAAATCCTGTTTTAATGTTAATTTTACCAAAATCATTAACAAAGCACTTCGGTAAAAATTACTGATCTTTTCAGCATTCCCATAGAGCCAAAAATACAATACATTTTATCATATTCTGGTCGTTTTGAAAAAAATAAATTTTTGTCTCAGTGCTCTTTAAACTATTTTTACTACTATTTTCAAACAATTTTTAGAGAGTACAGTCCGCAAAAAAAAAAACGAATCACCCTGAATAACTTTCGTTCTAATGATCGGATTTTCACGAACTAAGTGTCAATCTTAATGGTTCCTGGGGGTGACCTCAAATATGCTAATTAATTAGTGCTAACTATTAATTAAGTTACGAAATCAGACACAAAAACGTACTTTCTCTGAATAAACATATA